GTAACAAATGACCGTACTACGAACAAAAGACCAGGCTGCTGGGCATTACCAACATTTTTCACTCTCAAAAGTGGTGATAGTCCAGCCTTGTTTTGAAACCATATAGCAGGGTTTGGGGCATTGAGAGTGAGCGGATTACCACCGGGGACAAAAGCGCTCCACCACCACAGCGATGAGCCACACAGCACCACTGAACACTAATCTGGCCCCTATTGAAAAGAGGTCAGCAGTGCACTGAGCCAGGTTCGTGAACAAAAGACAGTTATACAACACTGCACAATCTGGGCCCTGTTTACAAGGCTGCAGGCCTGGCTGAAATACTCGGGCGTCAATGAAGGTCACCTGTCAACTTAGAGTAGTACCTAAAGATTATCTCGTGCCTCTATAAACGACCGTTAAATGAAAAGATGAATTTTTGAAGGATTTTTAAAACGGAAAAATGATAGTCATGCTGGCTCAGCATCATCAACACTGAAAAATGCCCCGGCATGAAGTGGTTAAAGTAGAGTTTCATGTGGTAACCTGCACAATAATGTAACTACTGTCCCACTTCCAACCTGTGATAGAATATAGCTGTCACCATTATGTAACTATTTCACAAAGAAGTCAACACAAGATACCCCTAGTCTATTCATAACAGTAAGCAATGCCTTATTCATGAGCACATAGGTTATAAGCAAAGGTTACACATTGTAAAATATGAACTTTACCTTTCCATAGAGCGTGTGTTGGGCTGGAGCAATTATTTCTGCAACCTTGAAAGAAATAAAAGAAAATCCAGCAGTAATAACAATTAAAGTATAAAATCTGCCACTGTAAATTGTTTAAACTGTCACAAAATCAGTGCACATTTACACATCCACATATTAAATTGCCATCATTTCATTCTAAAATTTCTGGCTATAAAAAAGTAGAAGGGGAAAGGACCCACCTCCATCTTTCAACCAATTTTTTCACTGCAGTTGGAAATTCATTTCATATTTCAAATTTCATTCATTCATATTTCAAATTATTTGAAGCACATTTACTAGACATGTATCTACTTAAATTTTGATTCAAGATGACTCACAGGCAGATCCAGAATCAATTTGACTTTTCTTGAGGGGAGGCAAATCTTTTTTGGGGGGGCCAAAATATTTATGTTACCTTTTATGAACCTTTTGAGGGTTATGGTGACTTTTCATACCCTCTGAGCAAGAAGGGAAACAAAATTGTCTAGAAATATTCTGAATCTCTACCTATGTTTCAAAAACAAACAATCCCCCCCCCTTTTTTGGGGGGGTGGTACGGCACATATGCCCCCCCCCCGTAGATCTGCCAATAAGATGGCTGAACTGTAAACAAAGCCAACTGAATTACCTTGCAGACTTGGTGCTTTTCAATAGGCACGCCTTTGACAAGTACAACTCCATCTTCATTCAAATCTTTAAAGAATCTGATTATAACACGAGGGATAAAAACTCTTGATTTTAAAAGTGGGACAGGTGGAGTAAAACCTGACGACATGCACATGAAGAGCGAAGTTTTATTCCTAAAAAAAGTATTTCAATAAATTTTCCTTTTAAAGCGTGGCAGCACAGCTTTAATAATTGCTAGGATGCAGCAGCCATAAAAAATATCATCCAACTGATTTTACAAAGGATAAAGGTCACCCAAGCAGATACTGCTGCCGATTAACCTCCATTCAGCCTTATTCAATTCAATTCCATCGCACCATTTGCCTTTGTTGTCGGGTTAAACCTGAACTGCCTCTCCCCATTCTACAAAACACATGATGTTACAAAGGTAATCCAAACACATGGGACAGGATGGGAAAGAAAAGATGGCAAAGCAGGAAAATGGGAATTGGAACAGGCAAATCTGGAGAAAGGAAGGAAACTGTGAGGAGGGTAGGGAAGATATTTGTGGGAAAGGATACAATTTTTCAGAAAACAATACTGTACACTGGCCTCCAATAAGTTGCTGATTAAACCATTTTTTTCATTTCTAATTAATTTCAATATTTATATACATTTAAGTTTCTTTTTTAAATGATCCTGTTCACTGCAGAGTATTATAAGCTACTACAAGTTTTTCAAGAATCAAGACAGGACAAAGTTAGAGGATTAACGTTGCTATCAAATTTCAGTTTTACCTGTTGACCTTGTCTCCAACAGCTGTAATGTCTTGAATATTGAACTCTTTAATGGGACCCTGCAGATGAGGGAATGAGAAAACAAAATCTACATCCCTAGGAAAGTTTTTTCAACCAGATGTTTGGAGATAAGAGGTAGAATGGCCTTGCCCCAAGGGGATCAGCTGATCCCTCCTATCCAAAGCAGATACTCAGTCAACCTACTTATCAGCAGCTGAGTATGGTAGCACAGCTTAAATGCTATGATGCAGAAGCCAGCAGCATCCAACTGATTTTAGAAAGGATAAAGGTCACCTAAGCAGATACTGCTGCCGATTAACCTCCATTCAGCCTAATTCAATTCAATTCAATTGCACCATTTGCCTTTGTTGTTGGGTTAAACCTGAACTGCCTCTCCCCATTCTACAAAATACATGATGTTACAAAAGTAATCCGAGCACATGGGACAGGATGGGTAAGGAAAGATGGCAAAGCAGGAAAATGGGAATCAGGACAGGCAAATCTGGAGAAAGGAAGGAAACTGTGAGGAGGGTAGGGATTTACGAACAGAGAGAAGTGAAGAAATATGTGGGGAAAGGATACAATTTTTCAGAAAATAGTACTGCTCACTGGCATCGATAAGTTGCTGATTCAACTACTTTTAGTATCTTCACAATTCATACAGCTATGAGGCAGTGAACTTGGATCTTCACAATAGAACATCTAAATGATATTGGTGACTGAAAGTAAGAATTGCCCTTATCTACAACTGTCTACCTCGTGAAGCATTTTCTAACAATAAGTACAAGTATCGGACTTGACTGACATGATTGCATGCTTTGCCAAAAGAGTCAGTTTGAAGATAAGGAATGCTGTGCACCTCCTGTACGATTGGATTACAGACAAAAAGAGCCTGCCTTGAATACAGTGACGTCTTGTTTATGGGAGGCTTGCTGGAGTGCTGGCCTGGAATAGCTGTTCTCCTTCAGCCAGCAGAGGGGCAGGGTGGTCTGGTGGGACTCCTCGTTCCACTCAATGAGCAGGGTACCGCTACCGTTCGCTGAAAATGAGGGATACCACTGTCAACGTCAGCTACTGCGCTTAGTGAATTCTGCGCACCAGATAAGAAACCTCTCAATGGTGGCAAAGAGAACCCTCTCGATTTGGTGCAAAGAGAGAGCTCAAGCTGACACTCAGATGCAATGTCTTCACGAACATACTGCCCAAGCAAGGAGCAGATCCAGAACAAAATTTTGTTTTGAGGGTGGTGGAGGGCCACCTTTTGGGTTTTTTGCGGGGAACAATTACATGTAATTTGCAGATTTCTTTATGTAACCTTTAAGCCTCTCAATAGAATGAGGCTTCATTGGGAACTCTTTAAACATTTTGGGAGGGCAGGGGCAATCAAATTGTACCTGAAAACATTCCTTGCCTCTTGGAGTTTTAAAAAATAACTAAACTGTTCCCCTTTCAGAGGGTCATACTGTATGTCCAAACTGCTTTTGTCCCAGCTCAGACTGACGAGCATGCCCTAGTGGAACCCTACAGGTGTACGTACACTCTACACTACATGCATTTGTTTTTCTCCCCTCTTCTTGTTTATATTTTTCACTTCTTCCAACGAAGACATTTGAAGAAAATATGAGGGCGCTGTGGCAGAGTGGCCGTGATTTCATTCAAGGACTTGCAATTTGGAAAAAAAAACCTCCACCAATCATAAACCTACACACATGGCGTTCTCACAATAAAAACAATCTAACAAAACTAGAGAATGACAAGATGAAACAATAAATACACACACCAAAAAACAAACAAATCAAAATACCAAACGTCTTCAAGAATTTTCAAGAGTGACATATGTGACTGAATTCTGCCGAAGATTAAAATAAATTCCATTATCTTTAATGCAGAAATTCATGTACTATAATATCCTGCCTTATGAATAGCATGCTATATTCCAGTTAACGTATGATCTGGTATTTGTCATTCTCATAGCCATGGAAACCAATCTATTAATGTTTGGCAAGTCATACAAATCAAAAGTGTCTTTATCAAACAACAAAAATGGATACTGGAAATTGCTCAGATTTATGGTGAAAGTTCCTACTGTACATGTATTTGGAGCTGGGGATGTGGACATGCAGGAAGCCAAAACTACATTGGGTAAAAAAAAAATCCACTTCATCAGTGGTTCTGTTTGCAATCTTGGCATTTGGTTCAGATTCCTACGACAAGATATAGTAGGGTGATATCTTACCGGGATCCACCTTAGTTGATTTGACGGTAAGCGACGCAGGCAAGGAAAAGCTTGGTAGCAGTAACTGTCCATTGTCGTGACGACAGGCTGGACAATGACAGTTTTTCCGCAACCACAAACTGTAATACCTAGAATGGGAAAAGACAAATTTTGTGAAAGTAAAGGATTTTTCTTTTTCATTAAAACCTTTTCCTGGTGACAATGAATGTCACTGCAAATTCAATAATGAGGCAATTGCCAAAGGACATGACATACACTGTTACCCATGTCATTTAGCGATCTGAACAAGTCAGATTCTGGCAACTTAAAAGGCCATTTCATACTGCAGGGCGACATAGCTGACATGAATGTCTGACGTCAGATGACACATTCACCTTCTGCAATTTGCAAATGCTGAGTACATTTCAACTGAAGCCAAATTTCTCTGTAACATTTTGTTATACCACAGTCATACCGTAGATAGTGAATTTTTATTGGTCTCAAACTGATTATGCAAATATGCCACAAGCATCCAAGTACGGTATCATTTATGATCGCGTGCATGGGCAACTTTGCCGTACCACAAAAAATAATGGAAAATGGTGATCTTTCACACAGTTGATGAGTCGTGTCCACTGTGTTGTAATTGTGTACATGTAACCTTGGGTACGAGGACAGATAACAGTGCTTGTACTGCATATACTATGCTTAAATGTTGTTGGAGATGTGCTGTGTTGGGGACATACATTGAAGCATTGTGTTTGTTTACATGAGCTACTCTCTATACTCTGACCATGACGGAGACTTGTGGGTTAGACTTCCGTTCATGCACCCAACTACGCTCACGGGACATGAGTAACATACTCCAATCACTATTTCTGCTGTGACCACCATTGTTGTCTGTATATAAATGCTCATGTTGTTGTCTCTTCTTGTCTGGTCGTCAATCTTGCCGGTATTTTTTACTGGAATTTCATGCAAATAGTGTCTTGAAATTCAACTAGTCGACAAAAACCCCAGTGCTTTATGAATCCCAGGTTTCTCTATATTCCAGTTTGTCATAAATCCTATATTTCTCCCTCTTTCCACCAAAACACACAAAAAGAAATTAATTCCCATGGCCTTGAATAACAATCCAGTTAATTATATCTACCATTCTCAACTTACCGACTAGATGTGGAATCCTTCCATGTTACATCTATGTATTTTCCTTGAGCCTTCAGATCAGCTAAAAAGCCCAGTGAGTCCTGTTGAATACCATACAGACACAAATGAAAATCAATTTTAAACACACACAGCATTTGAGGCAATACTAAATATTCAAAGTTGCCAGATGTTTCATTGATCTAGTTATTTAAGAGGCTGAATTACACATGGCCAGAACTCTTTTTCCCATCATTTTTGAGTCAAAGTACGTTAAGCTCCAGAGCAGAGGATACACTTTTTAGTGCACATCACAGTGAACTGTATCACAGGGTGAAGATGTAATTCTCAACAGACGGTGCACACTTCCATGAGATGTTTCAAAGGGCACAAATTGCACAGCACAGCAGGAGAGGTATTGAAGTGTTTACACCAGTCTTGCTTCATCACAGACATTTAGTAGAATAAATCTCTCATGTTTTGTGAATTTCACTTGGGAACACACACACGAACTGTAATGTTGACAAGAAACACTTTTCATTTGTTTTAACTAGAAAAAAATGACAAATCTTACGAATCCCCATAGGTTTTGCATGCGAGTTGCCCCCAATGTACTTTAAAAGAAAGACAGAAGAGTTCTCAAATAGTGCATCATCTATGGCTTCTGATAAGAAACAGATAAACACATATATGTCCATGTATCTTGAGTGGTAACATAGCATGTCCCAAGGATAGGCCAGTTTTTTAGTAAGTTAACCCTAACAGTCCTCAGTCCTCCAACAGGTGAATGATTGAGGACTGTTAGGGTTAAGGTAGCTTATTTCATTCTACAGATGCCACTCGTGCCCTTTGACAAAATGTAGTGATACAATGTAGGAATTGATATGAATTGTCTACGGAACTGAACTAACCACTGTCTCGGTTTGATGACTGCTGCAACGTATGGATGTGTAAATGGCACCCCAACCACTGCAGCTCACAGCAACTGACTGATTTGTTTTCAACTTCAAGAAGTTGGAGCATGAGGGCCAAGAAGATGAACTCTTCGTAAGACCCATGAAATGACGGCTAACAACGGAACACCTGATGGCATTCATCATGGAATCTTTCAGGAACAAACAGGAGGTGCAGACAGTCTGTGCAGCAAAGAAAACGTGGCAGAGGCTGACATTAAATCACAATCTTTGTCACTGTGAAATTGCATTGGGCTAGCTTCAATCAACTACAATTGAAATTTGTAGGATTTTGGTCATCCCCAAACCTCATCCCCAGGGCAGGGATCACTGTATTTTCAACTGTTTTCAACAGTAACCCCTGGTAGTACACCTTTCTTTTTTGGTCTGATTCTATACAGTAATACCAACCGATTAATATGAATCATGTACTTGGTGAATACTGTTCATCCCAACACGCATAACATGTTCTAACCTCAAAAACAATTCCTTGTTTTCCATTTCGCTTTGAAATGTGATATAGCCTGCAGCAAATGGCTGGTTAAGATTTGAGCACAAGTTTCCCAAATCGTGCTTCAGTCTGAAATACAGCACAGATGAGAAAACATGACCCTTCACCTGTTCTCGTGACAGGACATCCAGAAACTTCTGTATATTATTGAATAGCACGAAGGGTAAATTTGCCCCTTTGCCACGTGTTGAAAGTCCATAGTGACGTCACCCTGACCGCGAGAATCCCACCTTTTGACTTATAAAAACATTAAAGATAGCCATGTACAAACCATGGCATTAGGCCTAACATGTGGTTGTTTTGATCGTGCCAACTTACTCTGCAATTTAAACAATGCAGCAACGATGCCTTCTTGGTGAAGTAAGATGTCTGACAGGAAGCTTTATTCACCTTTGGCCTATATCCTCATTAAAATTGTGAAATTCATTGCATTCTGCCCATCCACACTACAGAAAATCAGCAGCATGTATTCTAAATATCAGCTGTAATGATGACAGCTTGACCAATCACAACACTACTCATATCTTTTCCTAGGCCACTTGTTTTCCCAGTCACCCACATATGAAAGCTGTACCCAATTTGGCCCAATTTGTGTCCATTCCAATGAATTCTCGCAGTCAGGATGACATCACTAAGTCTTGATTCTTCCCACTGATTGGTCAGTAGTTGGCAATTCCATATTTCACTCTCGAAACTCAAAGCGGCAAAAACAGTGTTGCAGTCTAGAGCCTGGGAAATCTGAATTATTGGCTATAAACTCTTAACCTTTACATAAACATATATTTATAATTGTGCTTTGAATATTTCCCACACTGTACTGAAAAGGTTTTAGTTATTTTTATCAAGTTGGTGCAAAAAAGGAGGAAAACATGAAAATCCCTGTACAAAGTGAATAGAGGGCTGCCCCTTTGCCCACATGAGTGCAATAAACAAAACAACCTCCAACTGCAAGAATGTTGAGGTCTATGGGAAAAATCTGAAGTATTGACTAAACTCTTTAATTAACATTTACATGCCTGAAATTTCACTGTTGATGGGCTATGAATATCTCCCACACTGTACCAAAAAGGTTTCAGTTAGGCCTTACTTTCATACTGGTGAAGGAGTTACTGTACCTCTGGCCCTGTAGCTGCACAGTACGGATACTGTGCATGTACTATAGTGGACACATGGTAGATAAGATACAAACACTGTACGCTATGAGGCCTTTCATAGGTAGGCTTCGTCGTCACCCGTGGGTTCGTACATGTACATGGGAGCGCGGCAGGTGACAAGCCACTACACTGAGTTCTAGGGGCTGGTGCATAACATCAAAAATGAAAACATCAAAATTATCGCTTAAAGTGCATAACTTTTAAATATTATGCGGTGGGTTTATTCCTGATTCGTTGTGAAAAGACTAGTCTCACCGTAATAGTCTGACAGGATAATTATCCAAAGGGGTTGTGACGCTCATAATAAGCAGAAAGGATAAGAACACATAGGAGCCCTCCGGCTTAGTAGGTCCTTGCGTTATGGTCCAAAACGGCCTCAGTGTGTTTGGGTAATATCTCTGTGCATAAATGTGGGTGCGAGCCATCCCCGGCCCCCCTGCTAGCATGCTATGGCCAGTGGTCTGATTTTCGGACAAGGAATACAGTACGGCGGTCCTGAACGGACATGTAAACACGGCATCGCAAATTTTCTATGATCACTCGTTTTTATTAGACCCCATCGTTTCCATATTGCTTGGATATTAAAGGGAGGTGAACAAATAGAGTTCGCTGCAGGGCATTGGTTTTACATCTGCGGTTATTTTTCTTGCGCAACGCGGTAATTTCATTCGTTACCTTTTCTTGTTCGATTTTGCACTTTTCTTGTTAACATTATAGGCAAACCGGGGCCGAAACTAACTTTGACAGGTATAAGCCGTGGAGCTTGCGGAAAGGGACTTCAGACGAATGACAACCAATAGCAGTGGGGTCTAGCAAAGCTTTCTTTCTTTTCTTCTCCCCCCCCCCGTCTCGCTTTTATTCTTTCTTTTTTCTCTCTACTCTTCTTCATCTTTTTCTGTCTTTTTAATTTTTTGTCTTACTTTCTAATTACACAATACATGTGTCTGGGATACATGATGTGGACCTACTGTTGCGTTCCCTAAATATCAAGTCGATGGTAACATGAACTTTATTAGTGTCTACGGGATGTGATATTTGAGGTCAACAATTTATTAAAAGGTGGACGTGAAACAAGGGGGTTGGGTGACAGTCGAACTGTATGGTTGGTTTATTGCTCTCACTTCTCTTCATCAAAGTTCAATGTGGGTTTAAAGAAGGTGTAGCTTAACATAATACAACACACAAAAGGCAAAGTTATAAAGAGGTTAAGTGTAACTGAACTACGCTTTGGCAGGACCATTGAGAATGCAAGTCAGACGGAGTGGGTTACGGTACGTGTGTGTAACATCGCACAGCTAGGCTACACTCATTGGGCCGGGCCGTGGTGGGAGCTGTCCCAGACCACTACGGTGACTTGCAAGGGCTGGACGGGGCCAGCGCCGGTACCGACCGAACTGCCGCTCAGACCGCAATGTGATGAGCGCAATGATAACGTCGCCGCACTGCACTGTGTACCATTGGCTCAGCGTAGAGACGGGGAGGACTGGGGCTAGTTAACAAGACAAGGGTGGCGAGGGTATGGAATTCCATATCTGCC